CCCCTTCTGGACAGCAGCTCCCCAACCCCAGCAGCATCTGTCCCCCACCAAAGCCATCATTGTCTGTCCCCACAGAGCCACCAAGGTGTGTCCCCACAGAGGTCTGTCCCTCCTGCCAGCATCTCCTCAACCCCAGCAGGGTTTGTCCCCTGCCAAAGCCACCATTGTCCCTCCTAAAGCCACCAAGGCGCATCCACACCGAGCGCTGTCCCTCCTGCCAGCATCTCCTCAACCCCAGCAGGGTTTGTCCCCCTCAAAGCCACCATTGCCCCTTCTAAAGCCACCAAGGTCTGTGCTCACAGAGCTCTGTCCCTCCTGCCAGCATCTCCTCAACCCCAGCAGGGTTTGTCTCCCCCAAAAGCCATCATTGTCCTTCCTAAAGCCACCAAGGCGCATCTGCACCGAGCGCTGTCCCTCCTGCCAGCATCTCCTCAACCCCAGCAGGGTTTGTCCCCAAACAAAGCCACCAAGGTGTGTCCCCCACCCCGCCGAGCCGTGTCCCCTGGTGGCAGCAGCTCTGAGCTCCACAGGGTCTGTCCCCCCGAGCCCCCCGGGTGTCCCCCCGGCCCCCCAGGTGTGTCCCCCCCGTCCCCGGGTGTCCCCCGGGTGTCGCCAGCACCTCTGCAGAGCAGGCTCGGGTTCTGCAGCAGGGACACCAGGCGCCGGCGCCGGCCCCGCTCGCGGCTCCTGCCGTGGCTCGGGGGAGGGATGAATCCGCTGCCTCGGCGCGTTCCTCGCGGGGGGAATTCGGGGATGCCGCCGTGCCCGTGCCCGTGCCCGTGCCCGTGCCATGCCATCCCTTCGCTCCGGGGCCGCCGCGGCGGCGATGTCCGAGTGACGGGAGCGGGGTCGTGCGGCGATCCAGGGCCGGGCCGAGCCCCGGTGCCCGGGCAGCGCTCGGGGCAGCGCGGGGGGATGCTCGCCCTGCCCGCTGTGCGCCTGGCCCGCGGGGACGATTCCCGAGCTCCGCGGCTGCCCGAAGGCTCCTCAGAGGCGGTTTTATTCCCGGCGGATCCCCCGGAGTCGGTCCGAGCTGCCGAGCATCCCAAGGACGCTCCGGACCTCCGGCGCGGGCGCTGCCCGAGCGGCGCCCCGCGACCCCCGGGAGGCGGATCGCAGCGCTGGATTCCCGGCCGTGGGAATGTGCCCGGCGCTCCCAGTCCCGCCGCGGCTCCTACATCCCGAGCGCCGGGATCGGCTCGGCTCTGCGCTCTCCTCCGCCCGACTCGCACGAATTCGGATTATTTCTGCCCGCTGGCCACTGCTTCCTAGCCTAGAAAAGGTTACATTTGCTCTCCACGGATTCTCTTGGCTCCGAGTCTCATTTCCAAATCTTTTCCCCAGCAAAAATATTCGGGAAGGAAAAAAAAAAAAAAAAGAAAAAAATTAAAAAGCACCGTTTTCCTCCGATGAGCTTAAACTCTTGCAGCTCTAAAGTCATTCACTCCGGATCCAAGGGAACTAAAGGATGAGGAATGTTCTCCTCCTTATAATAAAAAAGAGCCTTCCTGATCTTACAGCTTCTTTTCTTCTTTATTCACCAGAACCTGATCCATTAACACGGTATTTGCTCCCTTTTCCCAGAGCGCGGGGATTTAAGGCTCCTTTCTTCCCCTGATTCTGCGCTTGGCTCCAGCCCCGCCAGCAGCGGCTTCTCCCCGGGGCTCTCCAGCCTCATTCGAGCTGCTTCCAGCCATCCCTGCTCATCCCTCCACCTTCCTCCCTTCCCCAACTTCTCCGCAGCTCGCACCGGGAGGGGCGGCTCTGCCCAGTCAAACACAGAGGATTTCTCTGCTCTCGACAAATTGCTGCATTCCCAAGGAAAAAAAAAATCACAAAAAAAAAAAAAAAAAAAAAAAAAAAAAAAAAAAAAAAAAAAAAAAAAAAAAAAAAAAAAGCCACCAAAACCCAGCCCCGAGTTCTGCAAGCCTTGTCCTAGGATTTGATGCAATCTGCAAATGAGAGCCTACGGAAACCACGCTAAAATTAGAGGGAGCTGAGATGAAAACCAAGGACACATCGTGGCTCTTGGAAATCTTTAAATAGGGCTTGGTACCACCTCGAGGAGCTCGGGCTGCGCTGGGCTCGCATCCACCGAAATCCCGAATTCCTTAATTGGGATTCTCAAGCGGCCCTGGCTGCTCCTGGGACCCTCTCGGGGTGCTGCGGGTGGGCTCCCGGCCCCAGCTGTGTCCCAGCGGCTTTTCCCGTGCCGATGCTCAGCCCGATGGATCCACACCCGCAGGGGAGCAGCTCCTCCTCCACCTGCCGAAAACCGTGCCCAGCCCGGTGCCAGGCGGGCCAGCCAGGACGGGCACCCTGGAGCGCGCCAGGGACGGAGCCTCGGCTCCCCCGCCGGGCAGGGGAGGGGTGTCAGCTGAATTCCAGCAGGATAAAATTCCCTGAATGCCCAGGAGGATTCACCCTTCCTGAAGCCCTGCTGTCCCTCAGTCCCCCTCCCTGACCCCAGGCCTCTCCCGGTTTGCCCCGGCTGCCCCAGGGGACGGGGCTGGCCCAGGGGATGGCACCGTGCCCACGGGGCTCGGGGGGACTCGGGGGCTGCCACCGCACGGCCCCAGCCTGTCCTGGCATGGATTGCCATGTCCTGCTGTGCTCGGGATCCCTGGAGTCTCTGCTTTAGGATCAACGCTCCCAGCAAAGCCTCACCAGGTGCAAACACCTTAAATCAGGTGATTATTCTGAATTTTGGGGGCTCTAACGGTGCTGCTGCCTTGAAATATTCCAGGAACAGCGCCCAAGCTTTTAAAATCCTTTCTGTGGGGTTTTAAACTTGAACCAATTGTGAATGCATTGTGGGAAGCAGCGAGGAATTGCTGCAGGAGCAGGGAGTGGGGGATTTGCTGCTGGGCAGGCAGCACCTTCCCAGGGATTCCAGCGCAGCCCTCCGCAGCCTTTGCTCCCGAGCTGCAGCTCCTCGGATCCACCAGGCACCCCGGAAAGCTTTTGTTACTCCAGCAAATGCTAAAATCAGTGGAATCTAACCCCCCTTTTTCAGGGAATTCACACCAACTGTGTAACAGAAGCACAGAGCAAAGCTCCTCCTCCGTGAGGTAATTAAAAAATTAAAATCGCCGCTTTATCCAAAGAAAAAGTTTTACAGATGGAATACAGGCCAAGGTTAAAGTTCACAGGGACACCGAGGTAAAGCAGCGCAGCGAGGCACCGGATGATAAAATCACTGAATTTCGGAATAATCACGGTAATTAATGATGTTTGGAGAACGAAGAGCCCTCCTCTCGCTGCGGCTGCACGCAGAGGAGGCTCCGTGACCTCCCGGGGCCCTTCCCTCTCCACGGCCAGGCACCGGGAGCGCTCCCCAGAGCGGGTCCCGCTCCCGGGGCCACCGTCCCGCCCGAGCACGCCGGGTCCCGGCTCGGCTGCTCTGCTCCTTCCCGAGCGCTGCTCTGCTCCTTCCCGAGCGCTGCTCTGCTCCTTCCCGAGCGCTGCTCTGCTCCTTCCCGAGCGCTGCTCCTTCCCCGGAGCGGCCGCAATCTGCGAGGTTGCCATGGCGAGCATCCCTCCCTCCTCCTCCTCCTCCTCCTCCGCGAGGAGCTGAGCGAGCAGATGCGGAGCAGCACAAGCCGGCGGGTTAAGTCACTTCTCTGCTCGTGGGGCGCTGAGGGAAACGCTTTGGATTTCAGCTCTTCCCAAGGATTATTCCCACCCAAGCACCTGAGGTTAAAGGCACCAACCAACGGCACGTGGCCGGAGTTTTTAGCTGGAAATCACGGGCGGACAGGAGCGAAAGGAAGGGATTTAGATGGAGTGTGGGCCACGGCAAAAATCCCCATCGGACCGTTTCCATTTCCCAAAAGCCAAGGAACTTCCAGCAGGGCTCTCCTGTCCGTGACCCTCCCCGGCCCAGCCTCCCAGGGCAAACGAGCAAAGGCGGCTCGGTGCCCTCGGCACACGCTGTCCCTCGGCAGCGACACGGACACGGACACGGGCATGGACACGGGCATGGACAGGGACACGGACACGGACACGGACAGGGACAGGGACAGGGACAGGGACAGGGACAGGGACACGGACAGGGACAGGGACACGGACACGGACACGGACACGGACACGGGCACGGACACGGACACGGGCACGGACACGGACACGGACACGGGCACGGACACGGACACGGGCACGGGCACGGACACGGACACGGACACGGACACGGGCACGGACACGGGCACGGACACGGGCACGGACACGGGCACGGGCACGGACACGCGGGCTCCGAGCGCAAGGCCCGGCTCCTGCCCAGCCTCCCCCGAATCTCCCAGCGCGGGGGGAGCCGGTGCCCATCGCCCGCTGCCCCCAGACCCCGGGCACCGCTCTGGGCACCGCGCTGGGCACCGCGCTGGGCACCGCGCTGGGCACCGGGCCGGACACAGAACGGGCCGGACACAGAACGGGCCGGGGCACGCAGCGGCAGCGCCACGCGGGACCGCGGGAGGCGGCGATGTCCCTGCGCGGAGGGAGGGAGGGAGGGAGGGAGGGAAGGAGGGATGGAGGGAGGGAGAGAGGGAGGGAGGGAGCCTCCTCCGCACCTCCCCGCGCCTCCACCGGCGCTGCGAAGGGCGCAGAATTTTCCAGGAGCCGCGCCGAGCCCGAGCGCGCCGCAGGCAGGTTGCGCGGCCGCGCCGCGGGGGCTGCGCGGGGCCGGCGGCGGCGCGCCCCGGGCGCTGCCCGCGCTCTTTGTCCTCGGCGGGGCCGCCCCGCGCCCCCTCCCCGCGCCCGGCGGCGGCCCGGGCACCCCCCGGCCCCGGCCCCGCTACTCACGGTGCAGGCGGGAGCGCGCGTCCATGCGCGGCCGAGCCGCGGTGCGGGGGCTGCCCGCGGCTGTCCCGCCGCCCGCCGCGCCGCGGAGCCCAGGGCCGGGCCCGCTCCGCCTCCGCGGGCGGCGCCCAGACACAAAGCGGCGGCGGCGGCGGCGGCGGCGGCGGCGGCGGCGGCGGCGGCGGCGGCGGCGGCGGCGGCGGCGGCGGGGCGGGTCCGGTCCCGCTGCGCGCCCGCGCTGCGCTCCGCGGCGGCGCAGGGGCGGTGCGGGGGGGCGGGACGCGGCCGCGCCCCCCCCGCGGGGCGGTGCGGAGCGGGGATGCGGGAGGATGCGGGAGGATGCGGGAGGATGCGGGAGGATGCGGGGCGGGGGATGCCGTGTGGGATGTGCGGGGGATGCGGTGCGGAGCGGAGCGCGCAGGCGGTGCCCGCGCCCGTCCCCGCCCGTCCCCGTCCCGACGGGGCGCCCCGCGCGCGGAGCATCCCCGGAGCATCCCCGGAGCATCCCCGGAGCATCCCCGGAGCATCCCCCGGCCCCCAGCCACGGCCCCGGGGCAGCTCCGGGCCGCTCATCGCTCCTTCCCACAGGAGCGGTTTCCTCACCCGGGCCAAGGTGCGGGAAGGGCTCGCAGCCTCCCGGGAGCAGTGCTGGGCACAGCTCGGTGTCCCCTGCGGGCTGCGGTGTCACGGGCCACGGGCTAAACCCGCGGGGGTCATGGGGAACCCCCGGCAGGGACCCGAGGCTGCCCTGCTGTCCTCCATCCCCGCGGCACAGAGCAGGGCACGCCCGTGCCTGTGCCACCCTGTGCCACCCTGTGCCACCCTGTGCCACCCTGTGCCACCCTGCCCGCTGTCGCTGTGTGACCTGCAGCGACCCTGGGAACCCTCCGGGGCTCTCGGAGACACAGAACGCGTTGGGCTGGGAGGGACCTTAAAGCTCACCTCGTTCCAGCCCTGCCGCGGCTGGGACACCTCCTGCCACAGCCCTGCCCGCGGCTGGGCTCCTGCAGCCTCTCCTGGTGGCCCTCGGAGCAGCTGGGCCAGCAGCAAGTCCTGGAGCTGCTCAGCTCCCTTCTGTGTTCCCAAAGGCAGCAAAGCCGGCCCTGCTCCTGCCGTGTCCCATTCTGGGGCTCCGGGGCAGCCACTGCCACCCACGGGTGCTGGCAGGCCTGGCGGTGACACGGGGTGGCCGCAGGGACACGGTGACATCACAGCTCTGTGCTGATGTTCCTGAAAAACACCAAGATTCTGAAGGGCACAAAGGAACTGGAAAACCCCTGGAAGAGCCGAGTTCTTATTGAGAAAATAGAGACTTTTCTTCCCTGAAAAGACAAATGTGGAGAGGGAGGAACACAGGGATGTGCCAGGGGGAGGTGGGAACCAAACCCCCCAAGCCTGGAGCTGGCAAGGCCAAGGCTGGAGCTGTGGAACTGAAACCCTCAATTCCCATCACCTCACACCAGTTCCACAGTGGTTCCACCGACTCCAGCAAACAGGAAAAGCAAGGGCAGCAAAGAGCAGGCCAGAACAGTGAGGAATGTGGGTTCCAGAGAATCCAGAGAACTGTGAGGAATGTGGGTTCCAGAGAATCCAAAGAACTGTGAGGAATGTGGGTTCCAGAGAATCCAAAGAACTGTGAGGAATGTGGGTTCCAGAGAATCCAGAGAACTGTGAGGAATGTGGGTTCCAGAGAATCCAGAGAAATGTGAGGAATGTGGGTTCCATGAACAGTGAGGAATGTGGGTTCCAGAGAATCCAAAGAACAATGAGGAATGTGGGTTCCAGAGAATCCAGAGAACTGTGAGGAATGTGGGTTCCAGAGAATCCAGAGAACTGTGAGGAATGTGGGTTCCAGAGAATCCAGGGAACTGTGAGGAACGTGGGTTCCAGAGAACTGTGAGGAATGTGGGTTCCAGAGAATCCAGAGAACTGTGAGGAATGTGGGTTCCAGAGAATCCAGAGAACTGTGAGGAATGTGAGCTCCAGGGAACAGTGGGAAATGTGGGTTCCAGCACCTCCTGAGCTCTGCTGAGGCAGAGCTCCAGCTGGGCAGTGGAACAAGTCCCTAAGCTGGGCTTTGCCTCTGCTCTTCCATGCATTTCCCCTTTCCTGCTCTGGGCCTGGCTGCATTAGAACAATGAAATTCTTTCAGCAAATTTCCCAGGAAAGCTGGATGTGTTCCCTAGAAGCGTTCTGCAGGTTTGGGCTCAGAAGGGTCTGGTCAAGTCCAGCTGGGAAGAAGGGGGGTGAATCAAAGCAGCACATAGATAACCCTGAAATAAAGATATTTTTATTCCCCATTTTTTTAAAGTCTGGACTATAGAGAGAAGGACTGGTTTTAAGGACTCAGCTCCTTCTGTTCAATAAATGGTGGAGCTGCACAGCTTTGAACATTTTCCCTTTAGAACTCCCAATATATTTTTTCCCTCTGGTTTCACCAAGTTCACTCAAGTACTACTTGAAGTATTCCCGGACAAAGCTGATCTCCAATTTTGGAGCCTTTCCTTGTGGGGTTGAGAGGAGGGGATGAGGCATGGCCCTGGTGCCACAGGCACAAGGGGGGTTCAGGTGGCAAAGAATTGAGCTGGGCAGGAGGGATCTGCCAGGCTCTGCCCAAAATGGCCAATGGGTTTGGGAATTTTGATTGAGGCAGAATTTAGGAGATGAAAAACGGGAGTGGAAAAGGAAGGAAAATCTTTGTGGAAACCCAAAAAGCAGCCGGGTGCTGCCCTCCCCCCTCAGCCCCAGTGTGGATAATTGTCACTGTCCATGGGGAATTGCTGGAGCTGTTCCACCAGGATGACACTGGAATAACTTGGGGTATTTGCATCCCTGTACTAAAGCTAATTTGGGGAAAAGTTCCTTTTTTCTGGAGCGATGACATCATCAGGCTGGACCTGCAAAAATGATAACTCTTAAACCTGGAACAGCAAATTTCTTCTTTTAACACTGAAATGATTGCATTTCTATCATCTGGAAGAACCTCAAAAACCTGTTTTAAAATGTAACAACCGGGGAGATTGAACTGCTCCCTCTTCCCTGTCTCACAAAAGGACAGAGGAATTCAGGAGAGGAGCTGGGACCATCCCGATCTCCTGCTCTGGGATGTGCCCTGGGACAGCGGGAGGTGTCCCTGCTGCAGTGAGATGAGCTTCAAGGTCCTTCTGACCAAACCAGTCTGGGATTTCGTGGTTCCATGAGCACCCCGGGCGCCACTGGGATGTCCAGTGCTGGCCACAGAGCTCAGGAACGCTGCCAGAAGAATCCCCGCTCCAATTTCCATTCTCGCCTTGCCGGGACCTGGAGATCAGGCGGCGTCAAAACCCTCCCCCGGCATTTCAGTCCCTCCCTGGAGCAGCTGAGCTCTCCGGGTTTACACACAAAAAGTGTTTCAATCCCTGCTTGCAGCTGCCTCTCAGACGCACAATTCCCTCTCAGCTCCCCAAATCCAGGCGCGGCTCTCGCAGCCGGAGCTGCCGTCTGAAGAGCAGCTGAAGGTCACTGCCAGCTGCTGTGCCAGCGTGGGGGCAGCAGCATTGCAGAGCCCCCCTGCTGCAGGGCTGCCGGGCTGCCAGGGCAGGATATGGCACTGCCAGGGCTGCCAGGGCAGGATATGGCACTGCCAGGGCTGCCAGGGCAGGATATGGCACTGCCAGGGCTGCCAGGGATGCTCCGGAGCCCGGGCAGAGCTCTGCTCGGAGCACAGAGCCGGGGAAGGGAATTCTGTCCCTGCCCTGCTGCAGGGATGCTCCGGAGCCCGGGCAGAGCTCTGCTCGGAGCTCAGAGCATCCCGGGGCAGGGAATCCTCTCCCTGCCCTGCTGCAGGGATGCTCCGGAGCCCGGGCAGAGCTCTGCTCGGAGCTCAGAGCATCCCGGGAAGGGAATTCTGTCCCTGCCCTGCTGCAGGGATGCTCCGGAGCCCGGGCAGAGCTCTGCTCGGAGCACAGAGCATCCCGGGAAGGGAATTCTGTCCCTGCCCTGCTGCAGGGATGCTCCGGAGCCCGGGCAGAGCTCTGCTCGGAGCACAGAGCATCCCGGGGCAGGGAATCCTCTCCCTGCCCTGCTGCAGTGGCTGCACGCTGCAGCAGCGTGTGGCACAGCAGCTGCGGGCTGTGCAGCAGCAGCGGAGCCTCTGTCGGGCCAGGCTGGAACGGGCTCCCTCCTTTCCTCTCTCACGTCCTCTGACCTGCGGGGCACCGGAGCTTTCTCGGCCTCTGGAACGGGACCGCGGGGCTGAGGGGCAGCCCCGGGCAGCCCCCGGCCCCGGAGCACGCCAGTCCCGCCGGGAAGGGGAAAGCAGGGATGCCAGTCCCGCTGTGCCCGCTGTGCGCGGCTGCGGCCACGGGCGGAGGCGGTGCCCGGCTCTGCTGGGATGTGCCTGGGGCTCCGTGCGGTTTTAAGGGTCTGGAGCATCCTGAAGGTCCCTTCCCAGCTGGACACGGGAATGGCACCAAGGAGAGCTCCAGGGCAGCTCCCGGAGCCGGCCCGGCGCAAACCTCCCCGACAGCCGCAGCACAGCGGCTGCTCCGGGTTCCCCTGCTCTGGGCTTCACTGCCGCGCTCACTCCGGGTTTAAACACCCGCGAAATGCCAGTTCCACCCGCAGCACTCTGCCCGGGACACGCCTTCCATCCTTTCCCCTCCAAGCCCCGCTTCCCTGCCTGCTGGATGGAGGATGTGGAGCTGGATGGAGAGCCCCAAACCTCCCTGGATGCGCTGGATGGAGGATGTGGAGCTGGATGAAGAGCCCCAAACCTCCCTGGATGTGCTGGATGGAGGAGATTTTAGCAAGTTTGGGTACTCCTGGGAGTGCATTTTAGCAGAAACTGCTGGAGATTTGCTTTAAGCTGGAAGAGGGAAGGAAGGGATGGGATATTGGGAAGGAGTTATCCCCCGGGAGGGTGGGCAGGGCTGGCATGGAATTCCCAGAGCAGCTGGGGCTGCCCCTGGATCCCTGGCAGTGCCCAAGGCCAGGCTGGATGGGCTTGGAGCACCTGGGACAGCGGGAGGTGGCACTGGATGGGTTTGAGGTGCCTCCCGTGATCCCAAGGGCCCTGTCCCGCTGGGTTTAGCGCCCGTTGGATCAGAGACTGAGCAAACTCCCATTTTTTGGTCTATTACCCTCTTAGCATTTAAAAATAGAGCTGTTACTAAGCAATGGCAGCGAGGAGAAAGCCAAGCCTATGGAGGAGCATTCCTGGGAACAGGTATTTTTCCCAGCCCAAGTGCTGTAAGCACTGTGGGATGAGGAGCTGTGAATCAGAGCCTGCCCCCATTCCCTCCCTCCCATCCCCACTGCTGCTCTCCCATCACCCCCAAACCGGTGGCAGCGGCACCAGGAGCTGTTTGTTCTCACTCCGCCTCGCTTTGCGGGCCAGGTTTTCCAGATTTTCCACACATCTTTCCAAAATAAAAGAGACAATAAGTGGGATGATCTTCTCATGGGGTGGGGGAACCATGGGGGCGAGAGCTGCAGGGGTCCAAGCAGTGGCAAGGCCAGCCCTGCCCCGTGTCCCCAAGTGCCACATCCACAGGGCTTTGGGATCCCTCCAGGGATGAGGGACCCAGCACCCGCTGCTTCTCCGGCTCCCTTCCCTTCCTGGGGCTCCGTGTC